GAGGTCCAGCTTAAGAATGGCAGCATTGACTCACCAGGAAAACAGGTAAGACAGACTAGCAGGGGGCTGGGCACAGCTTCCTCCCTTTAACAGAATTACCTCCTCACCCTCCCCTGGCCCCAGCCTTGAGGACTCTTCCCAAAGACATGGAAAACAGGGCTAGTGTGGTGGTCCACACCAGTTGTCTGAGCACTTAGGGAGCTGAGGCAGAAAAATGGATGTAAATTTGGGCTATATAGTGAGAACCTATTTCAAAAGAAATTGAAGTAATACTTTTTTCAACCCAGGCATACATAGTGGTACAGGCCTTTAATCTTAGTGCTCAGGAGGCAGGGGCAGGCCAGCCAGGGCTCTGTAGAGAGACGCTGTCAATGGTGATGATAATATTTTTGATAACTGCCCTTAAGACTGAGTGGGACAAGAAAACCCACAAGTGGGCTGAAAAGTGGTTAGGAGCACTTGTTGCTTTGCAAAGGTTCCAGGTTTAGTTCTCAGCACCCACATGGTGGCTCACAACCATCTCTAACTTGAGTTATATGCCCTCGTCTGTACTCTGGGGGTGCCAGGCACGAATATGGTGCACATACACACAGGCAGGCAAAACTCACAGACTTAAAATATTGCTTAAAATGCTCACAAGTCAGGGGGCACCATGAAGGGTGGGCTGAGGGGCGGGGCAGTGAGCTCACCACATCCTTCGTCACAGGATGCATTTGGAGCCCTTCTGGTGGGGATCGGGATCTGTTTTACCTTTGGTTCCCAGTGACCTGGGGTGTGTGGGTGTGTAATGCTTAGGTCTGCTCTCTTGTGGCTGTTGTGTCCAGTGGCAGTTCTGGGCCTGGCCTGGTGGAAGTCTGGTCTGTCAGGTAAGTCACTGAGCGCTTCTGACTATGAGCAGGATGCTGAGGAGGAGGACGAGGAGGAAGATGAGAAGGACAAAGGAAAGCTGAAGCCCAACCTAGGCAATGGGGCTGACCTGCCCAACTACCGCTGGACCCAGACCCTGTCAGAACTAGATCTGGCAGTACCCTTCCGAGTCAGCTTCCGGCTGAAGGGGAAGGACGTGGTGGTGGACATCCAGCGGCGGCACCTCCGGGTGGGCCTCAAGGGACAGCCACCGGTGATTGACGGAGAACTGTACAATGAAGTAAAGGTGGAGGAGAGCTCATGGCTCATCGAGGATGGCAAGGTGGTTACAGTGCACCTGGAGAAGGTACGGGAGGCCCAGCCTGGCCTGGGTGCTGACTCCACGACTGTGCAGCCTTGGGGACTCACTGTGCCCTTGCCTTCATCAGGAAATGCTTAGGGCAGGGCAGGCAGAGTCAGGTTGAGCAGTCTTACTTGTCGAACCTCTTCCTTTCCATCATGCTTGCACATGGGTTCAGTTCCACACATGCTTGAATACCTACTGTGTGCCAGGCATAGTTCTCAGGACTGGAGAACAGTGAACAAAGCGTAGAAGAATTTTCCCTCATAGAGTCCACTTTGTCTCCTACATTGCCTTCCTAGAGGTAGGGTATTTACTGGGTAAACAAAGGTGGTGTCTGCAAAGGGGCCGAGAGACCAAGCACAGCTTCCCCTGGCACAGAAGGTGACGCGGATGCCGCTCACTCACCTCCGCGCCCCTGTGCTTGGTTTCCCTCCCAGGACTTTTCCCTTCCTTATTTACTGCTCATACCTGTTACTCTAGCCTCTCTCCTCCACTCCGAGTGGCCACTGCATGCTGTCTTGCCCTGGTGCATTGATTTGTAACTGCTGGGTGGACGGAGGTCCAGCTTTTCTGTACCCCTGGCCTCAGCACAGGCCTTCATGGGGCTTGGACACAAGATATGGATGGGAGAGAGTTTGGTTCTAAAAGGGTTGAGGTGTAATTCCTGGGCCGTGGAGCTTTCTTTCCCCATGGATGTCTTCCCCCTCTCAGATCAATAAGATGGAATGGTGGAACCGCCTGGTTACCAGTGACCCCGAAATCAATACTAAGAAGATTAACCCTGAGAACTCCAAGGTGAGTCCTGGTTGGCTGGGAAGTTTGTTGTGGAGCTTGAGGGGCGGGCGGAGTGGTTCATTCATCCCTCTCCCTGCCTCTCTGTAGCTGTCAGACCTGGACAGTGAGACTCGCAGCATGGTGGAAAAAATGATGTATGACCAAAGGCAGAAGTCCATGGGCTTGCCCACCTCTGATGAACAGAAGAAACAGGAAATCCTGAAGAAGTAAGTAACTCAGGCAGGGAGGATTGCTCTGGGGACTTAGGCCTGGGTGATGACAGTGTGGTGATACCTTGCTTGTACAAATAAAGCCTGTCTGGGGGTCAGAGAAGCAAGATATCCTCACATGACAATGCCACTGAATGAGATTCTAGACTGCCCTGCCCCCTTCAGCACAAATCAGCCAAGTTCCTGGTTTTGTGGCCTTGGCTTGATTACCCTGACCACCTTCCAGGGTCACCAGGAAGCCATAGGTAAGAGGCAGTCATCGCCACCTACTGGGCCTCGAAGGGTCACACAGGCTTCATCTGTCTGAGCCCCATGTGGCTTGGCCCATGTTTTCAGGGTCCTGAGGAGATTAGGCCCAGTGTCAGGACGGGAAATAATAGGCTAGCTCAGAGTGGACAGCTCCCTTCACTCTTCTGCTTCTGCTTCCCAGGTTCATGGATCAGCACCCAGAGATGGATTTCTCCAAAGCCAAATTCAACTAGCTCCTGTGTTTGCCTTCCTGAACTCTTAGGATTGAGCCCCTAAACTTCCTTTCCCACCTTTTCCTGGGACCTTGGAACCTTAGGGCTGGGGCAGGCATGGGACCTCCCAGGCACGTGAGCTCTGGGGCTTTACCAGAGATGGGCTGGGTCTTGGGGGTCTTCTCCTCCCCATTTGGCCTGTTACACATTAAAGCTCTTTACCCTACTCTACTTGTGTCCTCCCTTTAGCCCCTCCCTGGCTGCTGTAGGAAGTTGGGGCTTTGGCTTCTAGCCCATATTCTGATGTGTAGAATTCTACCTACTAGGCCAGGTTCCGGGACTCTGCTCTTAACCCCCGCCTCTCCTCCCATGACAGGGAGGACTGTGACACAGGTTTTACGTATTATGAGATAGGGTTTCTCTGTATTCTGAGCTGTCCTGGAACTTACTTTGTAGATGAGGCTGGCCTCTAACTCTTAACACTTGCCTCTGCCTCCCCCGTGTTGGGATCCAAGGCATGCACCCCTCCACTTGACTGTTTTATTGTGTGTAGACATGCTACAGCACATGTGTGAAGTTCAGGGGACAACTTTGTGGGTCAGTTCTCTCTATGTTTATGTGGGATCCAGGGATGAAACTCAGATTGCCAGACTTTTGTGCCTTGCCACTCTGAGCCACCTCAGCCTGCCACATGTGTGGTTCTGGGAGAAGCTGATTCATTCTGGCCACAGATTCCCAAAGGGATCAAGACCCAACAAGATCTAAAGCAGCTATGCTTAGACATCATCAGGAGCCGAGTTCCAGAGTCAAGTATTCAGACTGGGCTGTGTGCAGAGGCAGAAGAGTAATGGAGCTGGGGTGGCATTGCCTGAGCGTGGGAGCTAGGAGGGTGGGGTGCAGTGGAGCCCCACCGTTTGTCTCTGACTAGCTCCTCCTCAGAGCCAGCACCTATACAGTAACAGGCCAAGGAGGGACGTCTGTCCAGATCCGGCTCCCCGCATCTTTCTCCTCCAAAGGGCGGGGATCACTGAGTGCAGGGGCTAAAGTCAGTACCCAGCTGTTTTGATAAACCTTTTCTAGGAATGCAGACAGTACTCCACGAAGCTGTTGGGAAATTGGCTTCTAGGTCAAGGCTAGAGTTTAGGGACTATTAACACTCTTACTCTGGTTTCCCCTGTCTGTAATCTTTTCCTAAAAAAAAAAAAAAAAAAAATACAGATTAACGTGAATGTTTTCATGTATGTATGTATGTTTATGCAGCACATACATGGCTGGTGCCTCTAGTGGTCAGAAGAGGGCATCAGATTATCTAGGACTGGAGCTAGGGATGGTTGTGAGCCACTGTGGGTGCTGTACCCCTTTTGAGGCAGAATCTTGGTATGTATCCCTGGTTAGCCTCGAACTCAGTGACCCTCTTGTCAGTTTCCTAGGTGGTGTTACAGGTGAACACATCCCCTTCCTCTTGCAGAGGTGGAGATCAAAGCCAGGATCCCTCACACATGCTTGGCAACACCAAGCTGCACCCCTACCTGGTTATTCTATTTATGCCTAAACCTGGATAACAGGCAGCTCCCCCAAAAAGGGCTAGTTTGATTGTTACAGCTCCACTGGGGTCCTGAGGTCACAGCCCCAGGGGACCATCTATTGTGTTTCTTTGGAAACTAAATAAGTGATAGTTACCACTTTCCAAAGGGTGTCCCCAACAGACAGCAAACAAGGTGGTTAAAGGAAGAAGCTGGGAAATTGCTCCCTTTGTTAGCTTGTGGTCACTGGAAGATGGGGCCTTACTCCATGGTAAGGAGTTGAACTGCCCAGGTTGACTTTAAACCCCTGTACTCATGGCCTGCCTCACCCTCTCAAGTAGCTGTGATTATAGGACTGCACCAGAGCTAGCGCCTGTCAAGAGCAGCTAAGGAAGGGACCTGGATGGAGCTAGCTAGCCCTGTGCCCAAACAAGGGGTGCCTACTTTTGACTCAGGGAGCTCAGCCCCCAGGTGTGCTAGTTGCTAGCTACAAGGATGTCTTTGAATGCCAGGCTCCCTCAAGTTGCCAGTAAGCAAGATAGGGTGAAAATCAGAGTGCTGTATTAGCTCCAGGGAGAATTGAGGGGTCACTGACATGTGATGAGGTACTTAAGACTGAGGGGTGGCCAGAAGCAATGGACTGGGGGAATGGCAGTCCAGACAAAGCCGCCAGAGTCTTTCCTTTTGGAAGTGAAGCTGTAGTCTGTCTTGCTCCAACCTTGCTTGTCTCCATAATGCTGAACAGTAGTTGGGGCTAGTGGCACAGGAGGACCATTACCTAACCCTGACGACCAGGCGTGTGTGTGCTTGCAACTATGGTCATGTTAACAATATAGAACAGCCAAGGTCCAGTAAGAACTGCTCAGCAATATAACAAGTGGGCACTGCCCAGATTATCACGTATAGAGGCCATGCTTTCCCCAACTCAACCTATGTAGTTCCCATAACTTCAGAGTGCCATGGGAATAGAACTGGGAGACGACTTCCCAAGGCTTTGCTTTCAGGCCACAGGAAGAAGCAGTCTCAGGAGGTCAGTCCAGCTGGAGAGGCAGAGGAGGGCACCATGGCCCTGTGAAATGGACGTGGTCTAAATCATTCAATGAAGACAGAAGCCAGAGGTCACTGTTTCTGGCTTCAGGATCTGGCCTCCACACAAAGGGGTCCTGGTTCTTCAACTCCGCTGGCTATGCTTCTTCCAAGGGGGCTGTGACTGCTGGGCCAGTGGGGTTAGCAGTACACCTGGAGCAGGGGTGCCCCTGAAGAGTCTGTGTCCGTGCCCTGGAAGGACGAGTCTTGGCTGGCTGAGTACCCTGCTCGAGGAGGAAGCAGAGGCTCAGAGAGGGGAAGGAGCTCAGCCAGGGCCTACAGCTAGGGAGAAGTCTGTGGACATGGGACAGAGCAGGGCTTGAGCCAGGTCAGCCGTTAACAGCCTTTACAACCTGCTCCTGATGTTCAAACCCCAGCAGTTGCTCCTAGGAAGGCCCAGAGGACAGCAGTAGAAACCATAAGCTGCAGGCTGGATGGCCTGTCCACCTTACTCCCCCATCACTTCTAGCTCTATTCTGGGAACCTTCTCGCTTCAAGCCAGCTTTGAAGGTTGCAGTGGGTATGTGGTTGCTGAGGCCTTTTTCCATTTCTGATCCCATCCTGACCCACCCCCAAAGGAAGCTGGAAGGTCATCTGAAGGGCCCCTAGTGTAGTTTCCCACTCTCTGGTAAAGTCAGGACCATACCTGGAGCTCCATATGGCCGCAGCTTCCTGGCGATGGCATCTGCTGTCGTCTCCTGGGATATCTGCACTGTCAGTTCTAGGGAGGGAGTATGAATAAGCAGTGGTCATTATTATATTTTATAAAGCTCAGTCCCTATTTCTTGTAGCTCAGTAAAGAGGGTGTTTACTGTACACAGGCTAGAGAAATGCTTAAAACAAGGGTGTGGGTAGGTGGCTGGGACTTTGGCTAGGCCAGGTCAGTGGTGCAAAATTTCTTGGTTTTATTTTTTGAAACAAGGTCTGTAGCCCAGGCTGGCTTGGAACACTTGGCAGACCTTTTTCTTTAGCCTCTAGAGTTCTGGGAATACAAGCATGAACTCCTATCACTAGCCTTTCTTGTTGAAGGCAGAGGTCCAAATTCTTGACTCTTGGGCCAGGCTTGGGAGCTGCTCTGTCAAGTAGTAATAGAGGGAAGAAGGAGCCTGATAAATGCAATAAGTAAGTAAAAAAATACTGGGGACAGTGCAATGGCCAAAATCTGCATGCGCCTCACAATTTTCAGCTGGCTAAGAACCCAGTTATACCCTTCTATATGCCAGAGCTTCCCTACTTGGCACACTTACCATCCTGGCTAAGGCCAGAGCACACCATGGTCTCATGGCCACTGTCGGGGGCTGTGGCAGGGGCTGTAGATCGGGCAGAGCGCCCCTCGGAGGTCTGTGGGCGAGAGCGGCTTTTGCGGGTACTGATGCGGATGATGCCACGCACCAAGCGGCCCTCGGCGTCTTGCTCATCCAGGTGGTAATCCTGTGTGATGCTGCTGATCAGGTCTGAGATCTTGCTGGTCTTCTCCAGGAACACTGTGTCCGATGTGCACTTGGCCAGCTCATCGATCTGGTGTACACTGAACAGCTCTGTCAGCTTCTTGAAAATAAGCACGTCGATCTCCCGGCTCGACATGGAGCCACTGCCCATCTCGGGCAGGTCCAGGTCCGACTCGTGGAAGGAGTAATACTCCTCGGAGTCGCGGGGACTGCTGGGGAGGGTGCTGGGCAGACTGTGCCGTGTTGGGGGAGGCTCGGGCAGGGGCTCCTTGCAGCAGGAGTCCGCATCAGGGACTGGAGAGGTGGCATGGCGGTAGGGGTAGACTGGAATGCCCTTGAGCTTAACGTCAGGGTAGCTGAAGCTGCTGCCCATGCTGGACTTGAGCCGTTGGCCATCTCGGCGGCTGGGGGGTGCACGGTCCGGGCTGGGTGGCACGCCATTGTGCTCCTTGACCCAGGTGGCTTCATCAGCTCTCTCAGTGGGGTCCCCAGCAGAGAAGCAGGGGCTACAGCCCCGTACACAAGCCCCACAGCGCTGCAGGCAATCCCTGCAGCGGCGAAAGCAGAAAGCAGCCCTGCACCAGTCCCACCCCCAAGGGCGCCAGAGGAGGCAGCAGGTTGGGGGCTCGGTTGCAGGTTCTGCAGAGCCTGAAATGAAGGTGATACTTTCTGGCCCGTGGTGGCCAGGGTCCTTGGGGTCTGGCCTGCGGGTACGGCGACCTGGTGGAGGCTGGGAGCGCTCATCATTGGTTTCCAGGCATAACTCTGTTGGCCTCTCCCAGGGACCCAACCGTGGAGGCCCAGACGATGGGCGAGGCTGTCCCGGCCTGGGCATGGCTCAGAGCATGGCTTGCTACAGCCAGGCACCTGCAGGGGAGAAGCCAGGAGGTCAGAAGCAAAGGTCAGGGACAAGCTTCTGGGCTGACCTGAAGAGCTTTAGACTTCTGGGAAGCCTGTGATGAGGACAGATGAAGCATCCCGTAAACATTTGAATGCTGAGCTCTTCTTGCCCCAAAGAGAAAGTTCTCTTTGTGGTCTAATTTAGGCTTTAAAATCTCTGGACTTCTCAATAAATGGCTATTATTGAAAACAAAACATAGAAAATTACAAGTGTCAGTGGGGATGCAGAGAAATCGGACCATTTGTGCTTTGCTAGTGAGGGTATGAAATGTTATAAGTATTGTGGGAAACAATGTTTCTTCAAAGCTTAAACACACGGGTAGGGAATGTAGCATGGATGGCCTATATAAATAACATGGAGGAGGACCCAAGTTCATCCCCAGTACAGCAAACAAAAAACATAAAAACTGGCTGGACAGATGGCTCAGCAGTTAAGAATGTGTTACCGCTTGACGGGTTCATAACCTTTCTTGTAACTCTAGCTCTAGGGTTGTAACACCCTTTTCTGTCTTCTGCCCACACGGCACTCACAGGGAACCTCTCCCTACACATAACACAAATAACTTTTAAAAAAATCTTTTTTTAGATGTGTTGTATGTGAACATTTTGCCTGTATATATGTGCGTGTACCATATGTGTCTGGTGCCCATGGAGGTCAGAAGATGGTTGTAGGAGCTCTTGGAACTGAGGTTATGGATGGTTGTGAGCTATGCCGTGGGTGCTAGGAATCGAATCTGGGTCCTGTGGAAGAGCAACCCCTGTTCTTACCCACTCAGCTATCTTTCCAGCCCCCCCCCCCAGGGTTTCTCTGTGTAACAGTTTCAGCTGTCCTGGAATTTGCTCTGTAGACCAGGCTGTCCTCAAACTCACAGATATCCACCTGCCTCTGCCTCCTGGGTGCTGGGATTAAAGGCTGCACCACCACCACCTGGCCCAGTCCTTATTTTTAAAAATTATGTGTATATGGGGCTGGAGAGATGGCTTGTGGTTAAGAGCATGAGCACTGGCAGCTTACGGTTCAATTCCTAGCATCGATATGGTAGCTCTTCTGCAAGTGCAGTCCAAAGGGATCTGCCATCCTCTTCTGGCTGTATGCACATGTAGTACAGACATACATACAGGCAAAATATGCACATCAAATAAAAATAAAGGTTTAAAAATTCAAAAGTACATCATTGGATGAATGGACTCATAAAAGTAAAACATTCTGGGGATATCATTTAGCCCTTAAAAAGAATGAAATTCTCTTTTGTTTTGACATGGATGAATTTTGAAGACATTCTAAATGAAATAAGCTACACATGAAAGAAAAAATATTCTATAGTATAGTTTATATGAAATATCTACAACTACAAATTTAACAGACATAGAAAATAGCATGGTGGATGCCAGGGGCTGAAGCAGAGGAGCATGGGAGAATTGTGTGGAATGGGTACAGAATTTCAGCTGGGAAGGTGTCACAGCTCTGGAAGGAGTGTGAATGTATGTATTTAATGCCACAGGATGGTGTGCTAAAAACAGCATGTGAAAGATTGAAATGGAAAATTTGATGTGCATTTTACCACGAAGAAGGAACAGGAACACTGGACAGGGACCTTGCTTCCTGAGAACTGGTCCCACTTTCCTGCCATCACTGAGCCTGGTGCAGAGCCTCTGCTCAGCAGACATCTTTCTGTCTTCCTGGCCATGATCATCACCACTATCCTTCCTTCCTTCATCCCAGACACTGGCATGAATGGGTCTCTCATTTTATTCAGATTTGCCCTCTGAGAAACATTTACCATCAAGGTCTCTATTCTTTTTGGAGAGGGAAGGGTTGGTTTTGTTAAGACAAGAGGGTCTCATGTAGCCAGTCTAGCCTCAAATTTGCTAGGGAGCTTAAACTGCTCTAAATTCCTGGCCTTCCACCTCTCTTCTCAAGTCCTAGGATTAAAGGAGTGTACTACCTTGACTGGCAACACAAAGCAATTTTGGTTCCTTGCCACAAAAATAATACTCATGGACTAGGGAGATGGCTCACCGGGTAAGAGCACTAACAACCAAAGAAGCCACATGGAAAACTGGATGCAGTGACAAACATCTGTAACCCCAGCACTCCTACAGTGAGATAGGAAAGAGAGAAAGAATCACCTGGAAGGTCACAGGCCGGCCAACATGGAGTATACAGCATATGGCAGCAGCAGAAATGAGAGACCCTGCTTCCACAAGGTGAAAAGTGAGGACCAACTCCTAAAAATTCTATGACTTCCACATGTGTACACCTTCAAAGAAAACAGCTCTGCCGTAAAATAGCACTGATCTTCATTTCTCTTTGGGTTTATTTGCTAGGTATCTCAGAACTACGACTGTTTTACTCATGAACACTTGCCTGGCCATGTGTCAGGCAAGGCAAAACCAAAGATAAGTGATCTTCATGGTTCAGTTTCTAGAAAAGCTTCTAAGACAAGCAGAGTGCAATAATACCTGTCTGAAAACCTAGCAAGCATTTGAGAGGTGAAGGCAGGACTAGTAGTAGTTCTGGGTCATCCTGGACTACAAAGTGAGTCCAGGTTAGCCAGCCTAGTACATGAGTCCTACCCAAAAAACAACAAACAAACAAACAAACAAAAATCCCCAAAATCAAAAACAACAAAAAACACCTAGCCAGGTATGGTGCTGTTTTTGTTTCTGTGTTTTTTTGCAAGACAGGGTTTGTCTGTGTAGCTCAGGCTGTCCTGGAACTTGAAGAGATTCACCTGCCTCTGCCTCAAGTGCTGGGATTAAAGGCGGGTGCTACTGGCATGGCACAGGTTCATGTGGAAACAAGTGATCTCTGTGAGTTTGAACACAACCTGGTCTATGTAGAGGGTCCTAGTCCAACCAGGGCTATATAGTAAGACTCTGTCTCAAAACAAACAAAACAACCAAAAACCTCCTAAGGACGAAGCATGTGGAACTGAGTAAATCACAAAGGTACCAAGGGATGATGGACTGCCATACTCAGGAGGGCCTTAACCACAGTTAAGGCTTTGCTGGGCAGTAACTGCCCTTAATCTGTATTTAGAGACACCATGTGTGCGCTAGGAATGTAACTCAGGACCTCTGGAAGAGCAGCCAGTGCCCTTAACCACTGAGCCACCTCTCCAGCCCTTAGCCTTTTTTGAGATGCTGACACTTATCCTTGTACCCCCTATTTAATTACTACCGAGTCCTAAGAGCTGGTAATATGAAAGGAACAAGAATATAGACATTAGCATCTCTGTCTTCTAATTCCCATCCTGGTCTTTATAAATTGTGTGCTTAGGGCTAGGCATAGAGGCACATGCCTTTAATCCTGCACTAGGGAGGCAGAGGCAGGCACATCTCTGTAAGTTTGAGGGCAGTCTGGCCTACAGAGCAAGTTCCAGGACAGCCAGGGCTACACAAGAGAAACAGGAATTATTTATTGTTTTTAGTCTCAAAAATCCAAAGACAAACAGATATTGCATGCCTTGGGCAAAACAGTGCCACCTCCCCAAACACCAAATGCCAACAGCACTTCTGTTCTGGCCTCTTCTATATGCTGCAGACAGTGACAATTTAAAACCCCACAAGGCTGGAGAGCCCTCCCAGGTGCTGCTTTAACCAAATGATCAAAGGCAATGTCACTGAAATGAAATGACATCAAATATAAGGAGGACACATTGTGAAGTATTCCAGCCTCAAACACAGAACTGGGATGTGACCTTGAGGAAAGGGCTGACAGCCAGCTTCAGAGACACGTCAACTAAATCCAGTGTGGGTCAGGGGTCAGAAGAACTGGGAACTTGGATAATGTGAATAATTAGTGAAAGCAGAAAACATCATATGTTTATATGCAGAGTATCTAATTTTATATTTATTTTGATTTTTCCAGTCAGGGTTTCTCCACATAGCTCTGGCTATCCTGGAACAAACTCACTCTAGATCAGGCTGGCCTCAGAGATCCATTAGCCTCTATCTATTTAGAGACAGAGTCTCACTATGTAGCCCTAGCAGTCCTTGCTAAGTTGACTAGGCTGGCCTTGAACTTACAGAGATCTGCCTGACTCTCCCTCCTGAGTGCTGGGATTAAAAGGGATGCCAGCTGAACCATCCAGCCCTACCAGATATATACATTTCTATGAGAAACAGAATAGCCTACTATCTTTGTTTGGGAAGTAGACTAAGGGACACATATCTGCAGTGTGATCATCAATGGTTTAAACCAGACAACTAGCAAATGCCTGGAGAGCTTGTGTATAGGCAGACAGAGAGGCAAGGAATATTCGTTGTGCTGGATGAGGACACAGAAGTTCTTTTTTCCTGAAGCTTTACAGCTTTCCTACTCAGCTCTCCTCCTCTAGGAGATATTGAAGACCTCTAGACAAATGGGAGCCCCTTCTGCTGATCTCTCTCTCTCTCTCTCTCTCTCTCTCTCTCTCTCTCTCTCTCTCTCTCTCTCTGAGACAGGGTTTCTCTGTAGCTTTGGAGCCTGTCCTGGAACTCACTCTTTAGACCAGGATGGACTTGAACTCAGAGATCCATCTGTTTCTGCTAGGATTAAAGGTATGAGCTCCCCTCCCCCCTCCCCTCCAGGCCTGCTGAGATCTCTTGATGATTGGGTCAGCCTTGTACCCACTGTTTCAGGATAAGCCTAATTCCCCAGGGACTTTGACCCTAACCGTCTGTCTCAAGGCCCAGAACTGGGTCAGTTTGGAAGGTGTTATCATGGCACAGACACATTCTGTGTGACTTTATGGTAGGGCCAAGACAATTGGAGGGAAAGAAAAGGACTTCGGCTTCAGGTAGACTAGAGCAAGAGTCAACACTCTTTGAGAATGGTGTGTACCAATGTGGGATCCCATCTTTGGAAGTCTATAAACTGAAGGAGGTATTTCCTCCTTGGAACACCTCCTACTCTACTGCTCTAAAAGAAAGAAAGGAAGGAAGGGAGGAAGAAAAGGGTATACAAACTGAAATGGTAATAAGTGACTTTAAAAGTTTTTCACAACTGAATGTGGTGGCCCACATCAGTCATCCTTGTATCAGGCAGGTTGAGGCAAGAGGGTCATGACTTTGAGACCAACATAGACTGGAGAGAAAGACCCCATCCCAACAAAACAAAGTGTTCTTCACAGTCCAGAGGGAGACAACTAAATGTCCTGATTTGATCAACACGAGGTTGGGCATGGATTCAGTCATTTAACTAGAACTGAGGACCTACTGTGCATCCTAAACTCCATGGACATAGTGGTAAAACAGACTAACTCCCTAGTCTCAGGAGCTTACATTCCAGTGAAAGTGATTACTGACAGCCTACAATAAGCATACTGCCTGTAATAAATCTATTAATTCTCAAGGCATCCTTAATATTATTCAACTATACTAAAGCAGAAAGGGAAGTAAGTATCCAAAGCCACACCTGTTTCTTGAGATAGACTTTTATGTATCCCAGGCTGGCCTTGAACTCATTGTACAGCTCGGGATGAGAGTGACCCACTGATTCTCCTGCCTTCATGTAGAGCTGGGGCTCTAACTCCGGGTCTCATGTATCCAAACTGCTCTACCAATAGAGCTATGCTCCCAGTTCACAAACACGCTTCAATTTGCACTCATTGGCCTGGCCTCAGAACCTCATCCACTCCTCATCCAAGTCCTCAAGAGGGTTCCTCCCCTACCCCATCCCATCTGTGGGCTTGAGAGGAAAGGGCCAGTTAAAGCTGCTAGCATGAGCTGGTACCCTTTAAGGGCTTGCATCTAGAGTCCCAACCCATCCACCCTCAGCAGCCACACATGTGAGAGTATCATGGTTATTGACATTGGGCTGGGTCACTGTCTCTTTCTCCCCCACCAAGGATTAAGGACTGACTACTATAGATTGTATTCGTGCTAACTACTGAGAAAACAGCAGTGAATGGGCCAGGAACAGGCTCTAGCCAGAGACCTTTCCCATTACTTAGTTCTTACAACTACCATGTGAATAATTTATCTTCACTCCACTGCCCAGGATTCTGAAGCTCAGAGAAGGGAGGGGATAGAGCAAGACAGCAAGCTGGGAAGAACAGGATTTGCTGTGGTGGGCTGGGCTCTTTGGCCCGGGCACCTTGCTCTGTGCCACATCTCCAGCCAGGGAGCAAAGCCTAGGAGAAGCTAGGTATGGTGGCTCATGCAGGTAATCCCAGCACTAGAGAGGCTGAGACAGGCAGATTTCCTTAAGTTCAAGATCAGCCTGGGCTATCAAGAGATTCCCTGTCTCAAAACCAAACATCCAACAATCAGCCTCCCTATCTGTGATAGGATAGTGTCTGGCCTCAGGGTCCCTTCAAACAGTCCATTCATTCCAGGCTAGTCTTCCTTTCCCTACCACGGTCCCTGCTCCTGCCCTCCTGCTAATCCAGTAACACTGGTCACTTAATTTAGTGAGACTAATTCTCACCTCTACTTTAGCTTGGAACAAGACTCTTGGTTCCAGCTTCCTCATCTTTAAGTAGGTTCACCTTAGATTAGTGAGGTGGCCCAAGTCCGTAATCCCAGCACAACACAGGATGATTAAGAGCCTGAGCCATATGAGACCCTGCCTCAAAAACCAAAAACTAAGTATATAATTTATTAATTAAATATAATTAAAAATAAATACACAAAAAATTAACCAAAGTGAAATAAATAACATTTCAAAACCTCATCTTCCCAAGCGGAAGAGATTAATGTCTTTATAGCTCTCCACTAGGGTATTGATTGGTGTTTAGCACAAGCCTGGGAACTTGGGCATTGGAAGTGATCACAAGGATGCTTCAGGGTTTGGTGGCTCCAGGACTTTCTGACTTCTCATTGCCTTTGCCTTTCCCCGCAAACACACACACACACGAACACACACACACGAACACACACACACACACACACACACACACACACACACACACACACACACACGACTTTCTGACTTCCCACTCTCGGGGCTCTCTATGGGCCCTCCTCTCTGCGTCCACAGAACGGGCCGGCTGCACCAGCCTCTGCCCAGGCAAGCTTCGGGTCACCAAGTGGTGGTCAGCTCATGTCGCACGGTGCATCCCCATTCCCCCAGGCCCAGCCTCAGCCGCCCTCCTCTGCAGGCACCGAGTCCAGGCGGCCCGGTACGCATTGCCGTCGGGGCGCGCACCGCCTCTTTCGCCGCGGCAAACGCCATTGCCTGTGAGTCCCGACGCGATTCCACTTACGGTTCCAGCCACGGCTCCGAGGCGCCCGCCCCGGCTCCTAGGTGCCTGGTCCCAGCTCCCAGGCCTCCCGGCCCGCCCAGCCCCGCGCCCATTCGGGCCGCCGCGGCCCGGCCCGCGCACCCCGGAAGTGGGCGTCGGATCCCGAGGAGCCAGGCCCGCGTCCCGCTGCCGTCCAGGAGCGGCCTCCAGGGTCACCCACTCGGGGCTGCACCGCTCCGCGCCCCCGCGGGTCCGCTCCGGACTTACCTGCCGCGCCAGGTGAGCCGCCTCCAGTCAGCCCTTCCCCCGCCCCCTCTGCACTCACCTGGATCGCAGGTGAGCGTCTCGCGGGAGCGCAGCACGGGTCGCCACTGGGGACACACTTCCTGGCTCCGCGAAGCGCCGCCGTGCACCTGGCCGAGGCCCCGCCCAGCCCCGGCCTAGGCCAGAGGAGTGAGGCCAGAAGGGCAGCCAGGCAGCAGTGCTCGGGTCCCTCCTGCTCTGTAGTCCTGTATCCTGGAAGTCCCTGTAAGGCCGTGGAGCGGAGCGCCTACCGGGCATCAAAACTACTCAAAGAGCATGGCTCCTGGGAAGTCGTCCCTGACCCTTGAGTCTCCAGCTCTGTTAGTGGAACAATTCTCTGTGTTCTTTATTACAGTCCCCAGCAGGTTGTTGCTTCCTCGCCTCCTCTTTTTAGTGTCTGACATGGGAGGTAAGGTCTGGTCTTGTTTCCTCCCTAGTACAGGGTCTGGCTTATACCAGATGCTCAGCAAATAATCTTCACCATTTGAATAGCTAGGGTATGATCAGTCATGGGTCTGTCTGTCTGTCAGTCTGTCTACATCCTCACTTATTTAGGTTTCTTTTTTACTTTAAACGTTTTTTCATATGTATGGGTTTCTTGCCTGCATGTACGTCTGTGCACCATTTGGATCCCTGGTGCTCGCAGGGGTGAGGAGCAGAAGCGGGTATGGGAGTTGCACACAGTACTTGAGAATCGTTCTTGGGTCCTTCAAACTTGGCAGAGCAACCATTGCTCTCAGTGGCTGAGCAGCCTTTCCAGCCCCGCTTATTTAGGTATCCCCATCCAACTATAACCAGATCCTATCCTGCTTAGCTTCGAGGTCAGACAGACCAGGCGTGTTCAGAAGGGTATGGCTGCAGACCGTTTAGTTTTCTGAGACGTTGTCTCCTGCGTCCCAGGCTAGCCTCCAACTCACTACGTAGCCAAGTACCCAAGGCTGGCCGTGAACAGTTGCCCCTCCTGCTGTCATCTGTGGAGTGCTGGGATTCCAGGCATGTACTGCCACACCCAACATGGGCTCTGCTTTCTTTCTTTGCTCTGGGACAGAGTTAGGGGCTCCCGGTTGGCTGGTCAGTTGTCTTCTCATCAGTGTGTGCAAATGTGCCACTGAAATAGGACCTCACTGCAGAGACCCTGTGCCCTGAGTAGAGTGAAGAAGTTGGTCAGGCTGTGTGGCCCTGAGAGACACATGGGAGGTCAGTAGAGACCAAAAACCACAGTGACGGCTGCTTTCCCCAGAAAGGCCCCATAAGAGGCGACAGTATTGGGTGGCAAGAAGCCGAGGCTTACTCTATACCCTGACTACCTGCTCTCCATAACTGGGCCACAGTGCTGATAGACATGACCATTAAGGAGGATCTTTAAGGACCACGCTAAACCTCTCACTTGCATCGTATTGTTCAATCTTCTCACTTATTTTCGAGATAGAAATCTTGTTCACGGTAGCTCCAAACTAGAACCACACAAATACCACTGACATGAGGAAAAGGAGTGTGGGAAGTAGCTGTGAGTGAGACACACACACACACACACATACACACCATTGATGATGTAGAAACTTAATGCAGAGAAGGGAGACACTGATCAGACATTGGTATGAACTGTTTGACATGGGAGTAAGACACTTACTGTCTTTCAATTTCCTCTCTGTAGATGATTGGCGGTGCATTCCTGTAATCCCAGCACTTGGGAAGAGAGAGGCAGAAGAATCATGAGTTTTCATGGGATGGATGCATAGCAAGGCCTTGTTACAAAAACCAGACCAAAACCAAGACATAAGAAGGTATGCCTGCAACCTCTGTGCAGGACATAGTGGTGCATGCCTTTGGTGCCCCAGCACTCCAGAGGCAGAGAGAGTTGGATATCTGTGTGTTCCAGGTCAGCCTGGTCTATGTAGTGAGTTCCAGGATAGGCAGGGCTATGTAGAGAGACCCTGTCTCAAACAAACAAACAAACAAACAAATAAATAAGGCTGTGGTGGCTCATCCCTTTAATCCCACACTCTAGAGGCAGAGGCCAGCCTGAGCAAGTTCCAGGACAGCCAGGACTGTTACACAGAACCACCTCCCCCACCCCCACCCCCAAAAAAGAAAAGAAAAAGAAAGAAGAGAACTTCCGTTAAGTAGGGAGGATGAAAAAAGATGACAGACATGAAGGAGATAACAGATTCAGGAGGAGATCACTGGGGCAAATACACACAGGTGTGCTGCTCCCGCCAGACCTGAAAGCACGCCTTCCCACCACAGCTCCTCCACATTTCCCTCTGGGGCAAGGGGCACACTGTATTCTCATTTGGAGCTAAGAAAATGAGTCCCTCGGTGTATATGGTACTTCTGTGTACTCTAAGACCAGTAAGGCCAGTTCTAGCTCACTTTCACAAGAAGCCCTTGCAGTGCTATGCCAGGAGGAAGTGTACAATGTCTGGTAGAAACTGTCCAGCGTGTCCGGTGCTGGTGGTGCAGCCTTTAATACCAGCACTTGGGAGGTGTATCACTCTGTGGGTTCAAGGCCAGCCTGGTGTACAGAGTGAGTTCCAGGACAGCCAGGGCTGTTACACAGAGAAAACCTGTCTCAAAAAAGTAGCCAACAAACAAAACACAAACACACACACACACACACACACACACACACACAAAGGAAAGGAAAGGACTGTTCAAAAAGATATACTGCTACAGCCTGTCATTCCAGCAAGAAGATCAGGCATTCAAAGGCATTCTGGGCTACAAGGAACTATCTCAAAAACCAAACCAACCAACCAACCGAACAAAAAACTTTGTTCCTGGCAGCCTCAAAAATGGAAATACAAACACCACTGACAGGAGATAAGGAAATGCAGAGAAATCTTTACAGAGACCGGAGGCATGCGCCAGTGTGAGCCTAACAGGTCAGTCCTAGCTGACTCCTTATGAGAGTGGTTCTTTTCATGTGGTCCAAAAACAACCAGAATCACTTGGTTTAGGCATAATATTAGGCTTAATCATATGACGTTGCTGTTATCTGGGCTATTTTGATTTAAAAAATTGAAAAATTCATATAGTCCAGCCTATTTTATAAATCAACAAAACAAACAAGAGCCATGGGATAGATGAGCTGGCTCAGTGGGTAATGGTGCTTGCAGCCAAGCCTGATGACCTGAGTTCCAATTACAGGAAGAAAACCATGGAAGTATGTTGTTCTCCACTACTACATATGCTCATGGCATCCCCTTAAATGAATAAACCAATAGGTAAATGAATTTTTTGGTGGTGGTTTAAAAAATTTAAAGGTGTTTTTAATTATGTGTGTGTGTGCATCTGTGTGTGTGTGTGTGTGTGTGTGTGTGTGTGTGTGAATGCAGATGCCCACAAAGGCCAGCTGAATTGGATTCTGCTGAAGCTGTAGTTACAGGCAGTGTGAGCTGCCTGACCTGGGTGTAGGTCCTCTGGAAGAGCAGTATGTGCTCTTAACTCAGCCATCTCTCCAACCCCTGTTTTGTTTTGTTTAAAACTTTTTTTTTTAACTTTATGAGCATTTTGCTTGCTTGTATGTCTGTGTGAGGGTGTCAGATCACCTGGGACTGGAATTACAAACATTTGTAAGCTGCCATGTGGATGCTGGGAATTGAGCCTGGGTCCTCTGAAAGAACAGCCAATGTTCTTAACCTCTGAGTTGTCTCTCCAGCCCCCTGCTGTTATTTTTGAGACAGGGTCTTACTATGTAGTCCTGGCTAGCCTCAAACTCTCAGAGTTCCATCTGCCTCTGCCTGTTTGGATTAAAAGTGTGTATTGCCATGCCCAGCTAAGTAAATAATTTTTCAAATGGGAAATTACTGAGTGTGGTAGCACACACCTATAACCCCAGTACTAGGTAGGGCAAAGCAGGAGGATCATGGGTTTATGGTCAGCTTTCTAGTGAGACAAAAAGAACAGGGAGTGATTTTATTTCCCTCACAGAGTGCTGTTTCAATAATTTTTCCTGTTGCTGTGATTAAAAACCAAAGCAACAAATAAACCAGAAAAGCAACATAAGGGAGGAAGGGTTCATTATATACTCCTGGTTACAGCCCATCACAGTGATGCTATGGAAGCAAAAACTTGAGGCAGACAGAGACACTGCCTGAGAGCTCAGCCCTCTTTCTCCATTGGAAATCCAGCCAGGGGACAGTGCCACCCACAGAGGGCAGGTGCCGCCCCCAAGGAGATTGACCGTCACAAGTGTTATGTGGAGCCTGGCAATGGCATATGCCTTTGATCCCAGCCCTCAGGAGGCAGAGGCAGTGGATCTTTGAGTTCAAAACCAGCCTGGACTACAAATTGAGTTCCAGGACAACCAGAGTTGCTACACAGAGAAACCCTGTCTTGAAAAGCTGAGAGAGAGAGCGAGAGAGAGAGAGAGCGAGAGAGAGAGAGAGAGAGAGAGAGAGAAAGAGAAACACTATGTTTCTACTAATGTAAACACTGTATGTTTCCACTAACATGAAATATTGACGTCTAGGTATATAACTCAGTGGTAGAGTGTTTGTTCAAAGTGTTTCAGGCCTTGTGTTCAATTCCTAGTATTGCATAAAATAAAATAAAATTGAAATGTGAAATATTAAGAATAGTCAGATTCACAGAGGCAGAAAGATTAGATGTGACTCCCTGCTGGATTGGAGGTCACGAGCAACGATTGCCTCATAGGTACAGAGTTCTTCTTGAATGATGAAAACATTTTTGAAATAGAGATTGTGTAATACTATAGATGTAATTATTGCAGTTAAATTGATGCTTCAAAGTGTTTTAAGGGGTCTGGGGTGGTGCTCAGTGGGTAAGAGCACTTGTTGCACAAGTCTGAGAGCCTAAGTTCAAATCTCCTCTGGCTTCTGCACACAAACATATGCAAGCTTACATGCATGCGTGGGCACGTGCGCTCACACGCGCGCGCACGCGCACACACACACACATATGCAAGCTCACACACACACATATGCAAGTTCACACATATATGCAAGCTCACACACA